TTCGTCTGAAAGAAGAAAGTCATATACACCTAGGATGCTTCGAGGGTAAGTAAAACACAAACCAATTTTCATTTTTGGGTGAACTAACCCTTTAATCAAAAGTACTGTACCCATAAAATTATATATATATATATATATATATATATAGATACAGTGTGTGCATAATTATCAGACGTCTTCGATATTCTGACCATATTTTTTTTCCAAGCACATTTTAACAATTCCAAACCACATCAATCTTAATAACTACTATTAATTTTGTATTTGATCATTTATAAGTGATATATAACTGTCCATGAAGGCTGGAAGTGAAAAAAACTACAACCTACCAGGAATCTCCAGAAGTGCAATGTGTCAGGTTCTCAGAGACTTTGCTTGGGTTAAAAAAAAAAAACTAAAAAACTAAAAAATGACTCACTTAATAAGAATACCATGCTGAAGTGTTGTGAAATATATGCAGACTGATTTTTATAGGCTTCATGGACAGATAAGTTGAGAGTGACTCTTGAAGGACCAGCATCACATCCTCTTGTACCATTCTTTCAAGAATTTATCTTCCAAAATCTGCCAGTAAGTTTGGGGAGTTCATTTTTAGTCCATCTCCTATCCTAAAAAAGTCTGTCTTGCAGAGATGGACTAAAAATGAACTCCCAAAACTTACTGCCAGATTTTGGAAGATAAATTCTTGAAAGCGTGGTACAAGAGGATGTGATGCTGGTCCTTCAAGAGTCAGTCTCAACTTATCCGTCCGTAAAGCCTATAAAAAAATCAATCTTCATGTATTTCACAACACTTCAAGGGATAGTTCACCCAAAAATGAAAATTCTGTCATTAATTACTCACCCTCATGTTGTTCCAAACCCGTAAGACCTCCGTTCATCTTTGGAACACAAATTAAGATATCCTGTATTTTACTACACTTCAGCGTGTGATTCTTAAGTGAGGGTCATTTTTTAGCATTTTTTACCCGAGCAAAGTCTCTGAGAACCTGTGAACCCTTGTACTTCTGGAGACTCAAGGGTTCCTGGTGGTTTTACACCTAATTCTTCACCTTAATTCTTAATTCTTTTGCAGTTAACATGTCTCTTTTCTTCTCCACCTGTTTTTTCTGACCCTGCTGACCCAATGAGCATTTCGCTGTCCAATGGTCATGCCTTAACTTTGCAAATTCTCGTATTGCATCCTTCTCATGGGGCATTTGATAATTTTGTTATTTAGTCTGAGTTAAATCTCTTTTTTTTGGCTCATTTTATCTGTAAAAGAAAACCTGCCTAATAATTATGCACACTTGAATATAAGGAGTTTTTCACTTCCAGCCTTCATAGACAATTATATATCACTTATAAATGATCAAATACAAAATTAATAGTAGTTATTAAGATTGATGTGGTTAGGTATTGGTAAAATGTGCTTAGAAAAATTCCTACAGTCAAGCACGGAGGTGGAAACGTTATGCTTTGGGGCTGTTTTTCTGCTAAGGGTACAGGACGACTTCACCGCATTGAGGGGCAAATGGACGGGGCCATGTACTGTAAAATCTTGGACGAGAACCTCCTTCCCTCAGCCAGAACACTGAAGATGGGTCATGGATGGGTCTTCCAGCATGACAATGACCCAAAACATACCGCCAAGGCAACAAAGGAGTGGCTCAAGAAGAAGCACATTAAGGTCATGGAGTGGCCTTGCCGGTCTCCAGACCGCAATCCTATAGAAAATCTGTGGAGGGAGCGAAAACTTCGAGTTGCCAAATGACAGCCAAGAAACCTTAAGGATTTAGAGAGAATCTGTAAAGAGGACTGGATCAAAATCCCTCCCGAGATGTGTGCAAACCTAGTGACCAACTACAAAAAACATCTTACCTCTGTGCTTGCCAACAAGGGTTTCTGCACCAAGTACTAAGTCATGTTTTGCTTGGGGATCAAATACTTATTTCACTCACTGAAATGCAAATCAATTTCTAACCTTTATATAATGTGTTTTTTCTGGATTTTTTGGTTGGTATTCTGTCTCTATACGTTAAAATAAACCTACCATAAAAATTACAGACCCTTCATTTCTTTGTAAGTGGGCAAACTTACAAAATCAGCAGGGGATCAAATAAATATTTTCCCCACTGTATATATATAGTCAAGAATTCACCATATACGTATTTAGTACATTCTTGACTGTATATACAGTATATAAAACTTAAAAAAGGGCTTGTCTACACACTACTGTTGTGTAGTGACTGTACTCATATAGCCTAATAGACATAATTAATTTATAAAGGTCTGATTCTGTCATGTGTAAAGTGCAGTCATGTGCAATCAGTGTGTTTGGAGCGGTGAGTACAAGAGCTGCTGTGATCAAAGAAGAAAATACTGAAAGTGTAAGTTCAACATTGTCTATTAAGCTTTGGCAAAACTTTACTATTTTTAAAAAGAAGCTGGCTGTTTTCTGTAGTTTGTGCAGAATCGTTTGCGTCAAAGCGCTTGATATGCAGATGTGTCTGTTTTTGTGTTCCTCACGAGTGACGGCCGCGCCAGATAGAATGTCTTTCTTCTTCTGAAAATGCCTTGAAGTCTCTTGGGAACTTTGAGTTATTTTTGCTGCTTTTAAAGGCTTCATGTCTTTATTCATCCTGTGGAGAGCGCTGGAGAAAAAATGCCCAACTCCCATTCTCATTCCCTCATCCCCTCCTGTTTCTTCATCTTTCTGTTCTCTCAATTTCGTAAAGCATTTGTGGTTGGATGTTTTGCATTACCTTCTTGTATGCAACATCTGGATCATTAATGGTGCTGTATCTGTGGATACTAAAAGTAAAATGATGTTAAGGTGTTAGTGTGGTAGTCGAAGGGCAAAAGGTTCATTCCTTTGTGGTAATCCTGAAACCGTAGAGGATTTAGAGGAGATCTTATTTCTTTTGTTTTCTTGACGGTACAGATGTGAGCAGTCTCTTAGACCAGCTCTCAGACGTGTGTTAGAAAGGGCTTGCTATGGTCACCAAAGACAACGCTAACTCTGGTGAGTATAAAATGATCTCAACCCACTGTAAATGAACAAAAACTTATTTATGTGTTACATTATATAAATGTATTACATCAATGACTCTTTTCAAAAGTTTCTTGAGCAGCAAATCAGCATATTAGAATGATTTCTGAAGGATCATGTGACACTGATGACTGGATTAATGATGCTGAAAATGTATTTGAAAAATATTAAAATAGAAAACAGTTCATTCTAAAAAATATTTAATATTACTTTACTGTATTTTTGATCAAATAATTGCAGCCTTTGTAAGCAGAAGAGACTTCTTTCAAAACCGTTTTTTAAAATATTACTGATCCCAAGATATTGAATAGTAGTGTAGATAGAAAGTCAGATTGTAAATTTCTGGATAAATTCCAATTTTATTAGTTTGCTAATCATCATAACTCATCGTGTACATGAATGTTAACTTCAAATTGTGTGACTTGCCTAGGAGAAGTGCTGGAAAATATGATTTCTGCATGGCAGACACTAATGGGTGAAAGCAATCTTTTAGGCTTATATTAAAGGAGTGTCTCAAGTCAGATCTATAGATCTGAATATCAGGGAGACTCTTTTTGTCTCTTTTGTTTAAGCAACCAAATTGCAACATTAACAAAATCATAGAGACTTTTGCATGTGCAGTTTTTTAAATAAAATGTATGCGCCCTCTTTTATTGTCCTAGGCTCTGGCGGCAAGACAACCTGTGTGAAGAAGCAAAAGTGTATGATGAACAATTCCCAAAAGGCTGGGACGCTATACAGGGACCCGCAGAAGACCATATTTGAACCCGAACTGACCTTAGAGGTCACGGCTGACTATGCTGGAAGGAAAACAAATCCGGTCGCAGCGAACGGTGTTATAGAAACGGCTGTGAACGAACAGACATGTAACGTATGGAGCGTTTCCAATCTCCAGAATCTGAAAGAGATGCAATATCTGCACCACGAGACCGAGGACAGTCTAATTGACCCATCACTGGACATAGACAAGTCGTCCCTCATGGGTTTCATTGACTCTAGTAACCTGGAGAGCTCAGAGGATGTTCAGACGGTTCCGTGCATCCAGGTGGACGTTAAAACGGATGTGGTGCTGATCGATGAGGATGATGATGATATGTCTCTAAGGGAGAGGACCGTGACGGACGTGTCCACTGCAGACGGGAACGCGGCCGAGCTTGTGTGTGGGCGGCTCCAGTCAATCTCCTCTGACTCCTCCCACTCTTTATGTGATGGGTGGAGTCTAGAGCAGGGCTCGACCATTGAGACGCCTCAAGAGAAACAGGAGCCGCCCAAAAAACACAAACGCCCTTGCTGCCTCTGTGTTATCATTTGAGGTTTCCCGGAAAAAGGGCCAAGATTATACACTTTTCAAGCATTTTTTTTCTATAAAATCATTTTATAATGTTGGTCAATGTTTCTTGCATCAAAAACATGACCATTTTAACTCTCTCTCTTACCCTTAGAGTTAAACAAACCTTTTTTGCTACTCGTCTTTTAAAGTCATAAATTGACATTTTTAAACTATTTTACTTCCATAATGTGACATATTTCCAAGTGAAAGAATATTTTAATGGGGGGAAAAAGGAAAGGAAGGACATTTTATAATGTTTGTCAAGGTTTCTTGAACCAAAAACAGTCATAATTAAGTTTTCATGACCATTTTTAACTCTCTCTCTGACCCTTACAATTGAGCTTATTTCGCTACTGTCCTAAATGTTATGGAAGGCCGTTTCTGCAACGGAATAAAAAGAAATGAAAAGGTAATCTTCTCACAGTTCTGAGTTCATATCAGAATTGTGACAGTCAGAATTCTGAGATAAAAAGTTGCAATTACCTTTTTTTATTCCATACATTTTAAAGTAAAAAAACGACTTCCATTTCCAAGTGAAAGAATATTTAATGAGGGAAAAAAAGGTAGGGAAGAACTTGACTGTATTTATCATGACAACTCTTTTATTTCAAAAGAGCAAGAAAAATCCTGTTTGTCTCCTGTTGGAGTGAATGCCTGTTCACACCAAGGACGATAACTGTAAAGTTATAATCATTCTAATTCTATGAGAATATTCAACTATAACGATAACGATACACAGAGGAACGATATCATTGGAATCACTTGCAGAACGATTTTTCCAGCTGATATGTGATAAAATCATTGACAGCCAATCAGAGTTCATCTTGTGCATTTAAAGCCACAGACAAAACTGCAGTGAACTTATGATAAACAGAACATTATTGTGCATTGGTGTGGACGCTATAATATAGTCATTGTTACAGTTATCTTTATAGTTATCCTTTTTTGTGTGAACAGGCCCTAAATTAATTTCTGCGTGAGCACAATGCGCTGTGAGGGTCTGGTTTTAAGGTTTTGAAAACTGAATCTGCCAAAACAGAGCAAATTTAGGCAGTTTAGGCTAATTTTGGTGTTCCTCATTGCTGGGCTGCTGTTTTTCCAGTGCGTCTGGCACAATAGTGTTTTTGTGAATTATACATTTTGTATGTATTTGTCTTTTATCGCAGTTACGCTGTAACCGTGGGCTTGTGAAATATTCAGTGCAGAGCTTTTAAGAGGTCGGAGAGCACCGCTGGAAATGTGCAGGTACTAGCCTATCAGCCGCACGAAACCAGAGGAAAATTTAAACGTGGATTCTTCTAGCTATGCAAGCTCTATTTCAGTCGGTGGTTGACCGAAATGTCACATTGTGTTATTAACAGAGCTCTAAGCACGTTCTGCCTTTAGAGGCACTATAGTGGCAATTAACGTACGTTATAAACATGTTTATTGCTAGATACACTACCGTTCAAATGTTTGGGGTTACAAGATTTTTAAAATGTTTTTGAATGCAGTCTCTTCTGCTCACCAAGGCTGTATTTACAGTATTTAATCAAAAATACAGAAAAAAACAGTAATATGAAATATTATTCCAATTCAAAATAACTTTTCTATTTTAATATATTTTAAAATGTAATGTATTCCTGTGATGCAAAGCTGAATTTTCTGCATCATTACTCCAGTCTTCAGTGTCACATGATCCTTCAGAATTCATTCTAATATGCTGATTTGCTGCTCAAGAAACATTTCTTATTATTATCAATGTTGAAAACAGTTTTGCTGATTAATATATTTATTTAAACCATGATTCTTTGATGAATTGAAAGTTCAAAAGAACAGCATTTATATGAAATAGAAATCTTCTGTAACATTATAAATGTCTTTACTGTCGCTTTTGATCAATTTAACGTGTTCTTGCTGGATAAAAGTATTTCTTTAAAAGAAAAAAAAATCTTACCGACAGGTAATTTTGTTACTAAGTTAGGTAATATTGTGTCCCACATTGAGTGCACCCAATTTGACCTTCCCTTGCCAGTGTGACAAATGAGCCCGAAGTAATATCACCTGCAATTTTAAACTATTATGTTTTGTAACAAATCTTTTATCGGACTTCCAAGATTTTTGTACACACAACATTTTTATGCATAATTGAGTTAAAAAAGCTTTTAGTTTCTAAGGCAACCAATTCAAAGTATGGCATCCAGTTATCTTGCATGTAATGGTGTCATGTGACAACAATGTTGCATACTACTTTTTTAAACCTTTAGCATACAGCGTACTGTTTTACACACACACATACATGTATACGGTATATATATATATATATATATATATATAAAGAGAGAGAGAGAGCGAGGAACTATTCAGTATACTGTGCAGTATGCACTAATATTCCATTTAGAACACAGACAAGCATCTCTGACAACAGAACTTTTCTAAAATGCCACATTTTCTGTATGGTGCTGATGAGCTGCATCTCTTCATATGGCTACAACTCTGTCTGTTTTGTATGTTTTAATAAAAGCCTTGCATATGTTCACAGATCTTGCTCTGGTTTCTCTCCTGTCTTGTAATCGGAGTCACATGTGCAGTACAGTCAGGTGGAGGAAATGGTTTCTCATCTCAGTGGAGGTTTCCGGATGATTTGAGTGAGGGTGTGTGTCTTGTTGGAAGGAGTTGCTGTGTGAGTATATGTGTGTGTGTGTTTGAGGGGTGTGTAAGGAGGGTGATAGGGCAGAAAACTTTTATCTTTAACTCACCACCCGTCAGAGTTGGCGCTGTAAATGTATCACTTTTATACACTCAGAAGTGTGTTTGTACTCTTCGTGACCTTGTGAATGTTATTGTTCTTTAGAATAATTGTACTTAAAAAAAAAAAAAAAAAGTACTTTGTTTTAAAAGTACTTCATTTGTTTTGTTTGAAGTAGGTTATTCTTTTGTGCATCAGAAACATGTAGACCAGAATTTGCACCTCCAAAAAGGTAAGACAATTTATAATTTGACTTTAATTTATTATTCATTATGATTATTTTTTATTTTATTATTATATTTTTATAATATTTTTCAATAGCATCATGAATTTTTCGTAGATGGTCCATCATTAAAGATGGGTGTATTCACAGCAATTTGGCAGCTTTCATAAACAGAAACCAAAAATAGCCATAATCAGCATGTGGCCAGTGATGCATCAATTCTGGCCATAAGAATGAGCAGGTTCCCTTTCATACAGAGCGACATTTAACTGAATGTGTCAGCGCTGATGATAACAGTCGTTCATTACAAACCACACAGAATGCTGAGAGGAGATGTGCTTAACCTCAACTAACTCATTCAGCACTATCAACAGAGTTCAGAATGGAGGAGGAGGGTCTTTAAGGGGAAATTAGGAGAAATGTGGAACAGAACTGTGATATTTTGAGTTTGCCGGAACAGAGGAGAGAAAAACAGCGATGACAGTCGTAAGAGTGGCCTTATGCTTTCTGATGATTCAAAGAATCTTTAAAGGTCAGTTTCAAACAATTAATCACAATCTTCAAATATATTTTCAAATACACAGTCACAAGAGATTTGAATACAATTATTTAATCCTTTAATTAATACAATTATGTAATTATTAATTGACAAAACTGTTATTTTAATGTTATATAGTGTGAACTGTGCGTTAGTTTATTTGCAGTAGATCCAGTGGGGCCCAGAAGTCCAAGAGTGATTTTTAAAAAAAAATTTTTTTATTACAAATGATATTTGAACTATTACTGTGAATTAGGTTTATTAAAATAAAATGAACAATTTGAGATGTTCCTTGAGTTTCACTGAAAATCTTACTGTCTGAAATGTCACAAATCTTCCTAGAAATTGTGTAGAATTGTATATATTTCTTCTTTTAAATGTATAACTTATTTTTACAGGTTTTATAAAAAATCCCAATTGTTAATGTTATATATACAGTAATATGAATGCATAAATATTATAAATTACAAATTATGCTAACCAATATCTTTAAAATACTTTTAAATATATAATATTATAGTCATGCATATCTAAAATTATGTAAATATAACATTTTAGAATTTTGCATGTCAGCATTCTCATTTCAAAATGGAAATGTTAATCTTCCTTAGATATAACAATGAATGTTAGGTTTTATAAACCTAAATAATTAAAAGTATATAGTGCTTAAATATTATACATTACACATTAAACTAAGGAAAAAAATATATAATTTTTTATAATGTTAAAGTAATGCACATCCCAAAAAGAGGCTTACAAAAATCTGGTTTAATAAAGCCCAGATTTTTTATATATTTTTTAATTTTATGTATATAGTAATATGAATACTTAAATGTTATGCATTACACATATAAATATCTAATATATAATATTACAGTCATGCATATCTAAAATTATGTAAATATAACATTTTAGAATTTTGCATGTCAGCATTCTCATTTCAAAATGGAAATGTTAATCAGGGATTATCACTATCTTCCTTAGATATAACAATGAATGTTAGGTTTTATAAACCTAAATAATTAAAAGTATATAATGCTTAAATATTATACATTACACATTAAACTAAGGAAAAAAATATATAATTTTTTATAATGTTAAAGTAATGCACATCCCAAAAAGAGGCTTACAAAAATCTGGTTTAATAAAGCCCAGATTTTTTATATATTTTTTAATTTTATGTATATAGTAATATGAATACTTAAATGTTATGCATTACACATATAAATATCTTTAAAATAAATATTAATCTTATATACTGTATTATTGAAGTAACATGCATTTAAATAATTGTAAATCTAACATGTTAGAAGGATGCATGTCAGTATGTATTTTCATTTTAAATTGGAAATGTTAATCCAGGTTTTTCACACTTCTCCTCAGATATAACAGTGAAGGCAGACACGGTGGATGTTTGTGCCTCTTGCCATCAAAACGCTACCTGTAATGATAAAACTGATGGATCTGGGGGGAAAGTGTGCAACTGCATGTAT